TATATCAAACCTTTTATTTCGTAGGTTTAACTGCAAAGACTTTCTGAGTTGCATTGCTTTCTTTTTTTCAGTGTGTTCTGAAGCAGAAGTATTTTCGGGGGCGGGGAGGGGGGGGGGGGGTGGAATCGGGGGTGAAATGTTAAATTTATTTGAATAAATTTTATTCACCTTTGTAAACAGGCTGTAAAAATAGTTTTATTCTGTAATTTCAGGGACCCAAGTTTTTTTTTTTTAATTGATGGGGTGAAGGGGTTAAGAATTTTTGAAGTGATATATGTTGGGCCTGAAGTTCAGATACTACATCTGACAATTGAGATCCGTGGCCAAGTTGATTATATGGAACAAATAATGGATATCATTTCAGCTCATAGTTCATGTCGGTGCTGGCAGGTCCTTCTTGTTTCTTGTTTGTTCCAACTGAAGTAGCTGCTGGTTTGATTCCTTGTGTGATGTCTCACTGACTTTTGACCACTTTCGGAGAAATAGCTTTGTCAGTAGACTGGCTTTTGGATAGCTCTGCAGGCTTAGGTAGAAGAAGAAAGCGTTTCGTGGGTAGAAAAGAAATGAGTGAACAAGACTAAGATACTTCTATACCTCCTAGATATCAGAGACAAGACTATACAAGACTAAGATACTTCTTTCTATACCTCCAATATATCAGAGACAAGACTGAACAAGACTAAGATACTTCTATACCTCCTAGATATCAGAGACAAGATTATACAAGACTAAGATACTTCTTTCTATACCTTCAAGATATCAGAGAGAAGACTGAATAAGACTAAGATACTTCTATACCTCCAAGATATCAGAGACAAGAGTGAACAAGACTAAGATACTTCTATACCTCCAAGATATCAGAGACAAGACTGAACAAGACTAAGATACTTCTATACCTCCAAGATATCAGAGACAAGAGTGAACAAGACTAAGATACTTCTATACCTCCAAGATATCAGAGACAAGACTGAACAAGACTAAGATACTTCTATACCTCCAAGATATCAGAGACACGAGTGAACAAGACTAAGATACTTCTATACCTCCAAGATATCAGAGACACGAGTGAACAAGACTAAGATACTTCTATACCTCCAAGATATCAGAGACAAGAGTGAACAAGACTAAGATACTTCTATACCTCCAAGATATCAGAGACAAGACTGAACAAGACTAAGATACTTCTATACCTCCAAGATATCAGAGACACGAGTGAACAAGACTAAGATACTTCTATACCTCCAAGATATCAGAGACACGAGTGAACAAGACTAAGATACTTCTATACCTCCAAGATATCAGAGACACGAGTGAACAAGACTAAGATACTTCTATACCTCCAAGATATCAGAGACAAGAGTGAACAAGACTAAGATACTTCTATACCTCCAAGATATCCGAGACAAGAGTGAACAAGACTAAGATACTTCTATACCTCCAAGATATCCGAGACACGAGTGAACAAGACTAAGATACTTCTATACCTCCAAGATATCAGAGACACGAGTGAACAAGACTAAGATACTTCTATACCTGCAAGATATCAGAGACAAGAGTGAACAAGACTAAGATACTTCTATACCTCCAAGATATCCGAGACAAGACTGAACAAGACTAAGATACTTCAATACCTCCAAGATATCAGAGACAAGACTGAACAAGACTAAGATACTTCTATACCTCCAAGATATCAAAGACAAGAGTGAACAAGACTAAGATACTTCTATACCTCCAAGATATCCGAGACAAGTCTGAACAAGTCCGTAAACAACCTGAACACTCCCGGATTGATTATATGACGCATGCACACTATCTCTGGATGAAATAAGAATGACCACTTGATAAAATTATCATACTGCGTTTTTTTGTTTTGTTTTGTAAAATACAGTTTTATCTGCATATTAAATCATCATCATCATGCAGAACGTCGCTCTCATCACAGTCTGCCTGAAAGAAAATCGGTCTCTCGCCAGTTCTCCCGCCTCATGTACTGTCATACCCAAGGAGTCACTTATATCCTGTGCCCATTTTCTTGTCGGTTGGTCCTTCCCCCTCCTTCCTGGTACCATGGCTTCTGCTATAATTTTTTTCCAATCCGCCATGGCATATTATAACTGCCTTTAAATGTTGTAAAATACAATTGAGAGTTCATGGTTGTGTGTGTGTGTGTGTGTGTTTGTATGTGTGTGTGTGTGTGTGTGTGTGTGTGTGTGTGTGTGTGTGTGTGCTGGCTTTGTGTATGTGTGTGTGTGTTTTCGTGTTTGTATATGCGTTAGGTTTGTGTATGTGTGTGTTGGTTTTGTTTGTATATTTGTGTGTCTGATATTCCCTTCTTTCTGTTGATTGTTTCTGTCCCAGTTTATTTCAGTGATAGATTTACCTGAATACCTAACATTGCACACTTTGATTTGTGCTTGTTTTTGTCTGCCCATTCTATCATTGGCTCTCTTCACTCTGTGTTCCCCCACCTTCCCCGCTCCATCTCTTCGTATTAAGACACCAGAAGTTCTCCTCCTCGTTTGTTTACCCAAACATCCTCTTCATTAGTTTTGAGAGGCTTGAACAGGCCTCGTTTACTTAATGTTGATAATAGGACAGTGGATTGCCCTGATATAATCGAAGTGAGTGGTGGATTACTTGATCTAAAAAATGATGTTTAAGTTATCTAACGTTCGTGAAGGGGGACAGTGGGTTATCTGGATATTTCAAAGTGGGATTACGTAACTGATAAAATGAGGTTTAAGTTACTCAACTTTCATAAACGGGGACAGTGGGTTATCCGGCTATTTCAGAAGTGGGTGATGGCTAACATCGTGGCTAATTTATTCTAAAATGGCCATAACGTTGTTGAAAATGTTGACATTCAATGACTGTTAGCCCTCAGAACTAGGAAACATCTCTTGGCTGATTCTTCAAGAAGGTTCAACAACCAATCAAACAAGGACAATTGTAAGTGGGGGAGGGGTGGATTCTATCTGATCATCATGTACTAGGAGATTTAACATGGTTTGAAATCTCTCCAGTGGTTTTGTCCCAGTCAAGGCATCCATATTTTGTATCTTGTCATCCCCTGAGACTTTTTCATCCATCAAATTTGCATGCTGTCACTAAGTTTTTCAGTTGATTCCTTCTCATTTCAAATGATCTGTGAAAAGCCAGCAGTAAACTAACCAAAGAACAAACGTAAGGCGTCAAGACTAAGAAGGTTATCACTAGATTATAAAATGCAAGGGAAATTCTCAACAATACTAAAAGAGATTTGATTATATCATTGGCAGGAGAAAGTCTACACACAATGAGCAGAGATTTGATTATATCAATGGCAGGAGAAAGTCTACACACGATGAGCAGAGATTTGATTATGTCAATGGCAGGAGAAAGTCTACACACAATGAACAGAGATTTGATTAACCCCAGCATGAGAGGTCTGAACAAGATTGACAGAAATGTTATTTTATCAAAGAGAAGAGCAAGTCTGCGCAAAATTGGGAGAGATTTAATTGATTGTTAATTGTTGAGTGTCTGTTTAATGGGGATCTAAATAACAAGGTGACTGATCAATTTTAGCTTTGGACAGTTAGACAAAGACAAATACTGACAGCAATGACACAAATAATGATACATGCAACAGATTGTCAAAATCACAAATAGATTCATGTAATATTTATTGTGTTCTATTTCTCGTCAACAATAGCAGGAATGTAATTCCTAGAACATGTTATCTATCAAATATGTACAACTATAGAAACACTTTATCTGCTAGATATATTTACTGATACATAAAAAGGAGCAGCCATGATGTAGCGGCTAGATTCTCACCAGCGGATCCGAAGGGTATGGGTTATGGTCCAAACAGAACCAGTTTTTTTTCATATAGTGAGCCAGGAACAGATCGTCCCAGTCTGAAATTGGTAGGAGGTAAAAAAACTGACTCATTGTGTTGATGTAATCTATGAATTCTATCTGTTAATGTAATCTGTGAATTCTATCTGTTAATGTAATCTGTGAATTGTGTGTGTTGATGTAATTATGTTGATGAAATCTGTGAAATCTGTCTATTCATGTAATCTGTGAATTCTATCTGTTCATGTAATCTGTGAATTCTATCTGTTAATGTAATCTGTGAATTCTATCTGTTAATGTAATCTGTGAATTGTGTGTGTTGATTTTATTATGTTGATGTTATCTGTGAGTTCTATCTGTTAATGCAATATGTGAATTGTGTCTGTTCATGTAACTATGTTGACGTGATCTGTAAATTGTGTCTGTTGATTTGAACTCTATGTTTATGTGGTCCGTAAATTGCGTCTGTTAATGTAACTATGTTGATGTGGTCTGTAAAATTTATCTGTCGATGTTACTATGTTGATGTGGTCTGTAAAACCTATCTGTTGATGTAACTCTGTTGATGTGGTCTGTTGATGTAACTATGTTGATGTGGTCTGTAAATTATGTCTGTTGATTTGAACTCTATGTTTATGTGATCTGTGAATTTTGTATGTTAATGTAACCTGTCAAGACTTTTGATGAGATCTATAGATTCTATGTGAACTCTGTCTGATGATGAGATTTGTTAACTCTTTGGTTGTTGTTATCTGTGAACTCTAAATATTGTCGTAATTTTGATTTCAAACTGTCAATGCATTATTATTGCTCACGGTGAAGTTTTGACCTTGTCTGAGAAGTGAAGATGCACTATACACTATCCGCAGTTCCAGGAGGAATATATACATCATCTTTATTTCCTAATTGTATAAACTTCTATCCGAAGTTCCAGGAGGAAAATATACATCATCTTTATTTCCTAATTGTATAAAATTGCAAACAGGCTATAGGTTTCAAAAATAACATGGCTGATTAAGATAACGTGAATTAAGATAAATGAAAAAAAAAAAGCTGTAAAACAAGTTGGCAGATATACATTACTTAGATTAATTACCGGTTTAAGTTAAAATGAACTAGACACCTCACAAACTACAATGCGCGCACACACATCAATTCTAATAACTGTCTATAACGCGCCTGTGAACGGAGTCCCGTCTCAGCCGTTTAAGGAAGTCTGCAACTGTAATCCTTCTGTCGGGACATTTGTCCAGAAGTTTGAGTAAAAGTTCCCTGTGTGGAGGAAACCAAATATAGGAATTTAGAACATTTATACAGAAAACATGTCACTGTGAACAAGTTAAATCTTTATACAGAAAACATGTCACTGTCAACAAGTTAAATCTTTATACAGAAAACATGTCACTGTGAACAAGTTAAATCTTTATACAGAAAACATGTCACTGTGAACAAGTTAAATCTTTATACAGAAAACATGTCACTGTGAACAAGTTAAATCTTTATACAGAAAACATGTCACTGTGAACAGGTTACAACATTTATACAGAAAACATGTCACTGTAAACAGGTTACAACATTTATACAGAAAACATGTCACTGTGAACAAGTTACAACATTTATACAGAAAACATGTCACTGTGAACAAGTTACAACATTTATACAGAAAACATGTCACTGTGAACAAGTTACAACATTTATACAGAAAACATGTCACTGTAAACAGGTTACAAAATTTATACAGAAAACATGTCACTGTGAACAAGTTACAACATTTATACAGAAAACATGTCACTGTGAACAAGTCACAAAATTTATACAGAAAACATGTTAACAAGTTACAATATTGATACAGCAAACATGTCTCTGTAAACAGGTTACAACATTTATACAGAAAACATGTTAACAATTTACAACATTTATACAGAAAACATGTCACTATAAACAGGTTACAACATTTATACAGAAAACATGTTAACAATTTACAACATTTATACAGAAAACATGTTAACAATTTACAACATTTATACAGAAAACATGTTAACAAGTTACAACATTTATACAGAAAACATGTTAACAAGTTACAACATTTATACAGAAAATATGTTAACAAGTTACAACATTTATACAGAAAACATGTCACTGTAAACAGGTTACAACATTTATACAGAAAACATGTTAACAAGTTACAACATTGATACAGAAAACATGTCAATGTCAACAAGATGCAAACCCTGGCAGAAAGTTCTGATTGTTTATTCACTTTCGGACTTTAGTCTGGTTACTAAACTTGAGGTTTGCATGCATATCCGCTTTACAGATCTGGCGTATTTGTATACAGACTGTTGGTCCCTCGACTCACAGGCAGATGCACTACGACTTTGAAAGAAACTTCCCTCAATTAGGCGACATTTACGAAACGTTTGATAGGGGTAGTGGGTCCATTCTTTTCCTAACCCCCCCCCCCTCCCCCCCCCTTAATTCCGCCAATATGAGCCCGGAACCCATACAGGTTTGTAAATCAATATGAATCGTTTTTAAGTTTGCCCTGAACCTGATGAGGACACCTGTTAGAATATGTATATATAGAGCACAATATATGTTCGTCCATTTGCTTCCAGTAGGGAAGCAAAAATCAGTAATCCTATGATAGCAAGCATACCGTAAGAGCTGATTAAGGAGAGTCAGGAAAATGCCAGCGGTAATTACACATAAACTTGAAAATTTTCAAAATAAATTTTTAAGGAAAATTCTACGAATATTTTGTCCAAAAAAGATTAAAATGAAAACTAAGTAGGAAAACAGAACGTGCATCACTGGCAAATGTTATCAAAGTAAGACGATGGAGATGGCTTGGACATGTTTGCAGAATGATTTGTGGCACTCTGGCAAAAACAGCTCTCCGGTGAACAGCAGATGGGAAAAGGAGACGTGGACGACCTAAGGAAACCTGGAGAAGGACAAAAGAACGGGAAATGAAGGAATGTAAAGTGACATGGGATACCATGGGCAGAAAAGCAGCAGACCGGCAGCAATGGAGATCACTTGTGAATGCCTTGTGTGTCAACAGCGACATGAAGATGATATGGATAGGGATAGGATTATATCTGGTATTGTAGAAAACCTCAACTGTATAAATCACCAATGAGTCTTCAAAAGTCGTGACGTGAGCTGGCTAAGGGCTCATGCTCCATTGGGAGATAAAAGGATGTCGAAAGAGAACACAACACATGTTGAATCTTTCAAGTAGTGCACCGAAGTCAGATTCAGGAAGAACACATGGAGCATATAGCACCAGACATATTTTAGTAGACGAATCGGCACTTGCTAAATGATTTGTTCACCAGCAAGCTGTTCACTTTTACTTCTCATGACTTTACTTGGTACCCATTTGAGGCTTGGTCGACCTGAGAGTCAGAATCAGCTTGAATAAAACACATTCCGACTCCGTTAGGATTTGAACCTACGACTTTTGGATCCACAGGCGAAAGTCTAGCAGCTGCACCACAGCGGCTCCATTAAGAACAACTAAAGTTACTAAGTTGAAGCCTGACTTGAGAGGCGGAGGTCGACAACCACGATGACGGAGAGGGAACATTAGAGACACACTGAATATTGACATGAATAAAGGACTGAGTGGTGGAGTTTTTTTTTTTAAACCAAGTAAAGTACTTGCAATATGATGATCAGATTATAAACAGTCAGATCACAAGGTCTGGCTTAGATACAAGACATTTGAAATCATGAAATTTAGAGAAACAATTCACATTGTCGATCTTCTGGTTTGTGAATGAGTTTTTGAGCAGTGTTTGGGCATTAGAGATAGATATGTAGACAGACAGACAGACAAGATGATACAAACATCAATAAATACCTGAGATGTGTAGGCAGGTTTGGTTTCCGCCTGGCCTCGAAATAATAGTCAACGCTTTCATCGGGGTCTCTTTCCATCAGCAAGGCCCACAGGACCACCCCCAGGCAGTAGGCATCCATCTGAAAGTCGAGCAGTCATAGTTAAAGTTCACAGTCTTCACATTGTCACATTAGTATCACTCACACAGTTTATATTTTCACATCAATAGCACTCACATAACACTAGACTCACCTCACTGATACAAAATCACCAATGACACCACAAAACTGTGAAGTCCTTATAATTTTCATGGTAATTGAAGAAATTATCATCAAGTACTTGTCAACTGCAGCAAGTCATCCAGCCCAAATTTCGCGAAGTCCAGCAGAACGTATCCTTTGATGTCAGCTTTGTTCACATCTCGTAATCAACGGTCAAAACATTCTCTATCTCTCTTTTCTTTGTGTGTGTGTTTGTGTGTGTGTGTATGTGTGCGTGCGTGTGTGTGTGGGTGCGTGCCTTTCCTTCAGCTTTTATGCACAACACTTCCCAGTTGTTAAAATGCATTCATGATTTCCCAGTTGTTACAGTGTGTTGATGTTTCCTTTATTATAATTGTACCATAACATTTGACTGCTTCTTTCCCGATGTTTGTGATCAGTTGACCGGTGGGTGAAAAAGGGGGAGGGGGAGTGATGTGGTGGGTGGGGGAGTATGTGTGTGTGAAAAAAAAAACATACTGAGAAAGGTAAATGTGAGAGTGAGCGGAAAAGGCATGTCGAGTAGGAAATGGATAAAGAGAAAATGAGAGATGGAAGGAGGGAGAAAAGACATGTAGATAATGTGAGACATTAAAGCAAAAAAATGTCAACTGATGAATGAGAAGGAGAGAGGCGGAGTGAGAGAGAAAAATGGAGAGTGTCAAATAGTGATTTATTGAGGAAGAATGAGAAATAACGGGTGATGGAAGAGAGAATGGGTGGGGGGGGGGGGCATCGTGAAATAGATGGGGTGAGGAGGATAAGAAGGCTACATATGGAAAGAGGAAGAATGGGAGAGAGAAAAATAACAACTAGCACCTGGCAAAATGATGCATGGGACTTGGACCGTAGAGGATCCCTAAGGGATCTGTATAAATGTTGTAACCTGTTAAAATGTTTTCTGTATAAGGAGAAAGAGAGAGAAAAGATGTGTATAATATTATGTACAAATTATAATGTACACATAAGTATTGACAGAAGCACAATGTCAAAAGTAGAACGATGTAGATAAATGGGTACACACAGGGTATTAGGTGAAATTCATAAATATATAGATATTGGGATCAGACCAGAAACAGTTGAAAACCACTGATATATAACAGCAATAGTAAAATATTTTTGTCGGCGTCTGTGGCTTGGACTTTGCGAAAGCGCTTCGTAATGTCGGAGTGCCGGGTTCGATCCCAGCTGCGGGCCTTGCGTTGGTTGCGATAGTGATATCCAGAAGGCGACCATCCAAAAAAGCAATGTCAAACTACTGGATGTAAATTTGCCTAGAAAACCCACAGCATTAAAAAGATGCTAGGGTTGGTTCTGCAACGTCCCGTAGAGGATATGCAACTAACTATAAGTAGCGTGTTTAGTGCATTTTCTTACTCGCTCTATGAGTTTAGGGGTGTCAGATCTCAGATCATGGAAGCTGGGCGTCAACCCTGCCTGGCTGAATGGGTCAGAAATTTGGAACTAGCATGAAGTGCACACAGTTGGATCTGACATGTAGTGCACATAGTGGGATCTGATATGCAGTGCACACAGTTGGACCTGACATGTAGTACACACAGTTGGATCTGACATGTAGTGCACACAGTTGGATCTGACATGTAGTACACACAGTTGGATCTGACAATTAGTATACACAGTTGGATCTGACATGTAGTGCACACAGTTGTATCTGACATGTAGTAAACACAGTTGGATCTGACATGTAGTACACACAGTTGGATCTGACATGTAGTACACACAGTTGGACCTTACATGTAGTGCACACAGTTGGATCTGATGTGTAGTGCACACAGTTGGATCTGACATGTAGTGCACACAGTTGGATCTGACATGTAGTACACACAGTTGGATCTGACAATTAGTATACACAGTTGGATCTGATGTGTAGTGCACACAGTTGGATCTGATGTGTAGTGCACACAGTTGGATCTGACATGTAGTACACACAGTTGGATCTGACATGTAGTACACACAGTTGGATCTGACAATTAGTATACACAGTTGGATCTGACATGTAGTGCACACAGTTGGATCTGACATGTAGTGCACACAGTTGGATCTGACATGTAGTACACACAGTTGGATCTGACAATTAGTATACACAGTTGGATCTGATGTGTAGTGCACACAGTTGGATCTGACAAGTAGAACACACAAGCGGTACAAAGATTTGGAATTGAGAACAAAGAGAGAAAAATTATCAGGTATAAACTCTGCTGCTCAAACACAACACACACTAATGAAGATACAAGGACAAATAAAAAACAGGAGACAAATCACGAGATTGGAAGCTAGAGTTACGAAACAATACAATAAAAACAAAAAGAACAACAAAAACACTGACCTTATAGGGATCCAGCTCCTTGTTGTCTGCTGCACCTTTCCGTTCTGGTGGAAAGTAACACGGTGTCCCGCCGCACATCGACCTCTCGACTGTTTTCTGCTGGGGCTCTAGCTCTACCGCTAGACCAAAGTCTCCCAGGATGGCATTGAACTCTGCATCCATGAAGACATTGTCCAGTTTGACGTCCATGTGAACCAAGTACTCCTCGTGTAAGTAACGGAGGGCACATGCCACTTGAATGACACATAGCTCTGACAAGTCCACGCTCAGGTTGCCCATGTACTCGCTCAGGGTACCTCTGGGGTAGTAGTACATGCAGATGGCCAGGTAATCCTTGCACGCACCGGCGACCAGACACTCTGTGAGGTAAGGATGTTCACAGGCTTGCATGAACCTCACCTCGGCCTCGAAGGTTTCCTGGTTTGTGATATTATTTTCCTCGTCCAGAAGATTGAACTTCTTGACCACCCGCCGGACATCGGGCTTCTCCAGAGAGATGGCCAGCACGATGTCCCCGCACATCCCCGAGTCTATGACCTCTTTAGCTTCCAGCTTGAACTTGGTGAAGAAATCTCCCTGGATCTTGTACACCTTGGCGTTGCTGAGAACTGATCGAGCCATGACCAGACAATGTCCCAAATCAACAACTTCACCAGTGTTCACAAAGAAATATGAACGACGGAATATCGAAGTTTAACTTTACCAAATGATCAAATTAGCAAGAAATATAAACAACTAACTGTAGAATCTCCAACTTTGTCAATGATCAAATTAACAAGAAATATAAACGACACTGCAAAATCTCTAAAATAAGCAATGGAGATCAACTAGAAATATACTAGATGTACACCAACTTACTGACTCTCTGAGTGTTTCGAATGAACTGGCGGACACCGTCCAGTGGAAGTATATATACGGAAGTTATTATTAAAACTAGGGGTCTTTGTTCAGTTGACACGCCACGGACACTTAGAGTTATCTAGAACATTCATTAGTATAGGTACATTTGGCGCAGTTATCTAATCCAGGTGGGATGGATCAAAGGCTTGCCGACAAGGCATCTACCCGTTACGTCAACAATCGTCACATACGAGTGACGCTGTCCGGTCCAAGAACAATACATGTCTGAGTGTCCCGCCTGAGTTAGAAAAACAAAGTGTCGTGTCACTGGTTTCGAGGAAGATCTTAGAGATTTGTTTTATTAGAAGTGGGTAATATTTGAAGCGGGGACAGGCATTTGTATGTTTGATGTCTGCGTCGCTTAGACTTTCCCAGTTATGGCTTATTGTGTGTCGCTTGGCAACTGACAGAAGTATATCAAAACTGGGTCTCATATTGTGCCTTCCTAATCATGGCTTATTGTTTGGCTTACGCAAAAGTTGTGATTAGTACAACCTTCAACACGTGTCAAAGAGCAGTTGGATAGCTTTGTTATCTAAGGAAGTTTACAGGACATCGCAAAACCAACATGCATTTTTTGACTGTTTTAGATTTCATTGAGTGACTTAACCTTAAATGGTTTGCCATTGCTTACTAAACGATCAGCTCTCAATACCACTACTTTCTTCAAACTTATCGTAGTTTGTCAGGGGATGGGGGGTGGGGGGGGGGTGGAAATGAGAGGGGGTGGGGTAAAGATCTTGATAATGTGTTGTAGAAGTTGATCTTCATATCTTTAAGGCTGTACTTGATCAGAATGCATGTTCTTTTCAGAATGTCGTTCTCATCAAGGCAAGACTGAACGTCTCTAGTCAATTGTCCAATTGCTATGTTTTATCATATGTGTACTTTCAGCTGATTTGTTTTCAATATATTTTGAATATATAATGAGATATATCATGTATATATCAGGAATTGTGGTTGTTTACTATAACATAAACAACCTGAGTTATATTTATGACACCGTTTTGATAAGGACACGTTTGAAAGAACTACAAGGATTGATAGACACGGCGGTGGTAAACAGTGATTGACTAGGCCTCACTGTGAAAAATGGGAAGATGTGAGTAAGTATAATATCAAAGACAATCATAGTGCCTAAATGTGTTATCAGTTATAAGTTGAATTATCTTCAGAGCACTCAGACTCCCCCTTCAACAAATTCATCAGTGTTGCACGGCTGATAGTGCCAATCCTATGCTGGTTGACAAGACTTCGTGTGCATCCGGTGTATTTTTCATGCTTGGCTGTGCCGATCTTTACTCCCAGTTCTCGTATTCTTAGCAGTGATGTGGACACGATGCTTCCAAAATCCTCGGAACGTCCTATCTCTTCAAGGGCACGTAAACTAATTAATGCCAGTCTGTTAGCTCTTTCATTGCCAACAACCCCTGTATGCCCTGGGACAAATATGATGGTACCTGCAAACACAGGAGAGTTGAGCAATGACTCAGTCCACTGTTTTTGTGACGAGCCTGATTCTTCTCGCCAGAAAGCTTGTGTCAAGGCCGTCACCTCCATCGTCATGCTGCTGGTGGTCATGGAGAAGACACCGCTGACTTTTTGATCTGCTCTTGTCTAAAGAGCGAGCTGTAAATGCCCATGCACTCTAATGTTCTCATATAATACACCCGACTGTGAAGATCAGCACATCTGTCTAATCTGACCTGTCATTGATAAGCGCACAGACCTTAGTGTTGGCAGCAACATGATACTGTTCAGGACAGTTCCTATGAAGCGTGACGACACAGGAGAAGATGAGAGTGAGCGCTCTAGGCAATGGTGTCCAGCCCTCACCAGGATGGATGTCTGTAAGACTGCAAACCTGTTTGATGTCATCCTCTGCGCTACCAAGCCATGATTTGCCCCGTTTTAGTCTACTGCAATTTTTTTCTAAATCTAATCAAATTACTAAATCAAATTAGTAGCAAAATGGAGGAATATAATATGAAAATAAACACTACAAAGACAGAGACAATGGTGATAGGAAGACAGAAAGACGATTTTGAAATAACATTAAAAAACAACACTTTAAGACAATCAGAAAAATTTAGGTATTTGGAAGCAGTTTTCACATCCGACGAAAAACTGGACAGAGAAATTAGCTCGAGATGTGCCAAAGCTAATCAAGTAATGGGGCAACTATCTCCCCTTGGACACATAACAAGGATGGCCTGGTACTATCTGTCACAGCGAGCCACACTAAAAGGTTACAATAGGTATAGTGCGAGTGGAAGACCTCGGAAAATATGGAATGACGGCATTAAGAACAGCCTTACAGAAATGAACATCAGTCATATTAGTGCTCTTGACAGAGCTCATCAACGACTGTTACATCTACTCCCGACACTTCGATGAGGTACAAGGTGGAAGAGAAGAAGAAGAAGAAGCCCCTTTTCCCGAAGAGCATGCTGTGCTAAGGGTGCTTCAGATAGGTGTTTATCTTGAGGTGTGCGCGAGTCCACTAGATCCTGATCCTGTAGTTCATGGTAGAGAAGTCAAACAGGCATCTCATTGCTACATAAGACGGGTCTCTTGTGCACCCCAGAATAATGCGCATTGCTTCGTTTTGCACCTTCTCAAGTCTTTCAGTCTGACTATGGCTGACAATGAAAATGGCTAGAGCATATTCGATAGGAGAAAGGACAAGTCCCTGGAACAGAAGCAGTCTCTGCTCAATATTAAATACGGCCAAGACCCTCATTGCTGACAGGCCTTTGCGTTCTTTTATTAAAACATGGTCAACTTGTTCTTGAAGGACAGGCTGCGATCAAACCTTTCACCGAGATATGTCGTCAGGTTTGTTCTCGTCAAAATTTCGTCGCTGCTTTCCACTGCTGGTAAGTCTGGCGTCTGGCTTCATTATTTGCTTGTTTAACTCTTTAATTCCCAAGGAACGCATCATACGTTCATAGGTTACTGCCCAGAAGCCCAATGAACCCAAGATGCGCAGATTTTACTCTCTTTTGATTACCCCTTGGGCCTAGGATGCTAAATCCTCTGGGACTCAAAGAGTTAAGGAGAACCACGTTACTGAGGCTGTCGAAGGGTTGAAATGTGCGTTAGAATCTTCGCACCAGGAGAATATTGCCATCAAGTTTACTCTTCATTGAATTTGCCATCTCTTTCATGTCTGTATACGTCATCAGCAAATGACAAAGTCCTGCCACATCCGCGCAACTGCTGCTCAGTTATCAGCATTGATAACACACTGAATAGAACTGGAGACAGAGGAGAACATTCAGACGATCATGGACTGACAAACGTATTTAGGCTCAGCCTGTCACATTTTAACCATTTCCGACCTGCAACAGCACGCTTACCGGTCTTTGTTCTTTTTGCCCATCGTCTGGTTTTCATGAATGAAACGCCTATAGGAGACTGGAAACTTTTGCACGAGATCCCTAGCATTATGCAAAACCCCGTTACTTTCTGAATATTACATTATACACATTTTAAATTCTACCAACTCCGTCTCCTTATCCCCTAGTCCGCTAACATTTAACGTGGCTGTTTTCGTATTCCTGCGTGACCTCTTTGTGTTTACTGTGTTTAATGGCGGGCTGGTTGTCAAGCCCTTCGTCCTCCGATCTTTGATGGACTTTTTCATACTCCTGATCGTATCTGCGGTACTTAATAGCATGTTTATGTGAACTTTCACTACCCTACCGGTTTGCTGGAACTGTCATAGTATCATAGTTTAGTCCCAGTCTTCTAATTCCCTTAATTGTTCTTTTATTTGTTCTTGCTACTCTGGCAGATCTTCTCGGACATCTCATCTCTGGTGTTATGATTGCGTGCTCATTAGTTGTATAAGTGTCCGTGGTTGACAATGGTGGCTTAATTTGGACCCAAACAATTCTATTTACTTATTTACTACTTTGCTGTAGCCGTCCCATTGAAGGTTATAAATTATGCTTAAGTTATTACACCTAAACCCAAAACTGGGCGTTGAATGCTTTCACTGTGATATATAGTTACAAAGAGCAATAAAGCACAAAACGCAGACAATATAAGTTTTGAATTTGACTGTACACTGTATATCAGAAATGAGTCAGAAGTTTTTCATCCAATAAGTTGCCTGCCGTGGAAACGTTCTGCAGATCCGTGAATTCATCTTGTACTTCATCGGGGATGTTGGCGACGTCACAAAAAGCAGAAAACAAAGTTTGTACCAGCGCGGCTTCTTCTTCTGTCAGCTCAGGAAAATAACACTGGAGTTTGTGTTTAGCTGAATCTAGATGATCACATCTCTTCTTTCAGGTTACCACTCATATCACTGTTAGACTCGTCTACCAGGCTGCTCAGTTTTTCAGACATAGCCCCGTCTCTTAGATGTACTATTCTTCGCCGGGGATGAAATTTAAATAAAACGTTTATATTTTTTTTTTAATCCGCACGATTATTCCTAAATTGGAATATAGTTCTGGCCTTTCCTTGGAGCTTTGGGTTAGGTCTATTTTTCTGTTCTAATATATCCGCTAGGTAATCACCTCTTCTCAACCAAGCTTCATCAGTCAAATAGGCCGCAAATTCGTGTTTGCCTTGACCTTTCAGAAACAAAAGTTTTTTCAACTAAAAAAAAAATGTATTGATCTAATTTCTGTTAGATAACCATCTCGCATCAGTTAAAGAAACAACGTGGTGTTCAGAAGTCACGTTTTTACAGTTTTTTAAATGGA